ATTTATGAAGGCAAATAATAAGTATGAATTCACATACAAACTTGTTTAAAGAAAAGTATCCTTTTTTTAGAAAAAGATCAAAATTGCAAAACGGGAGAAGAACAAACAGAAACCAATCTAGAAAAAAGAAAGTGAAGACAAAAAGATCAAAGAAACACCCAAGAAAAATGCACCTTAGTCTGAATAGTTGAGACCCCACAAAATCTACACATCTAAATAACATTGATTATTAAGCTAGCTACATTCTGCCTTCAATATCAAAATCTTTCCCTAGCACATCTCAAGTTCTGAAAGGACCATTAGAGTTGTGGTGATATGATTTCACCTGATTGCTGGATGCACTAACTCTGTCTTTACACCAATAAAAATAAGTCATTGCTTAAATTTTGTTCATCCCTCTTGGCTTGATAGTGTTACTTTCTATTTTTTCTTGTAATTATACAAATCAAAGCTAATATTTTCTGAAACTTATGTTTGTGATCCATCGTACTTCCTATGGCATTCTAAAATATACTTTACACATTTTAATGAACCTCAAGTTGTACTGCCTGTGGATATATAGAATGCTGCTAAAGGTTAAAGAGAAAAATGAAGGGGAGTAATAGTCATGAAAGAAGCTATTTTTTTATAAATCCAAAGGAAACGGAAAAACATACATGTATTAGAACAAAAAAGAATACGAGATAGCCATGAGTATTTTCCATTGAGATAACTTTCCCAAAGCTTAGTGCTGCTCAACTCTTAAGCAGTCCAAATTTTCTAAATCTCAATAGCTTTTATGCTAATGAAATCCTTACTCAAAATCAATCACAACATTTTGATGAGGCTGATGGTAGATTGATTGCAGAGTTAAAGGGGCAATATTTAAGATTATGCTATCTAGAAGCCATCTGATCCCTGAAATCATTAACTGATTGAATCTTATTATTTAACTATATTCCATTGATTTTCGTTGCCTCTATCTGATGCTCAGTGAGATTGTTAACCCAAGAACCAAATTGCCAAATGTTGATTTTAAATGACTTCCTCATTTGCTTGTAGAATTTTGTGTTGGTGTGTTCAGGCAATTGACTTCCTGTATACTCTTTCAGGTTGCTTTTCGAACTAAGGTCTTCCACCCAAACATCAATAGCAATGGCAGTATCTGCCTTGATATCCTTAAAGAGCAGTGGAGTCCAGCCTTGACTATTTCCAAGGTTTGCTCTTTCTTCCTCTGGCTTTATCTTGAATGTTCAGAATACTGTTTGTATAAATATATATTTAAGAAACAAGGTTTTTCTTTCATAAAGGTAGAAACAATCAAGTTTTTGCAGGCTAGATTTTTCTTTTTGTTTCGTATGGGCATTCCCAAAAGATTTTTGACTTTATGTAAGATGATAAAGTTGTTGAATTTCCAACTTTGCTCTTTTTGACTCTGTCCCACTTGAGCCCCTCTCTTCTCCGACCACTTTTGCTGCTATTGGACTTTGCATATTACGGCAACAGAGGCAGCGGCATAGGAGATGCCGCTCGTTTCTATGTGAAACTGTTCCTGTCGATATCACAATCCCCCCCCTCTTTCCGAGTGCTGGTCATTCTTTTCAGCCCAACATATGTACATACTAGAAAAGCTACTGGAGCCAGCAGTGGTGGTCGAGGAGAAGGAGAGAGAGGCGGTGGTGTTGGATCATTTTCTTTTCCGTAATCAACACCTCACCTATGTTTGCCTCCTGAATCCGGTCAACATCCCTCCAGACCCAATCTCCAACTTTCTCCATAATCTGGATAACCACCATACGAGTTCAGCATTGAGAAGTTCAATTTCTGCAACTTGTTTTTGCGCTTGCCGAGCAATCTGAAGACAATCGCCAGAAAAACCAGACTGGAGCAGGGTTTAGGGGGGTTGCGTCCGATACAGAACCCAGGGGGAGCCGGCACTGAGTTGGACAACACCAAGGTGAGGGGTGGTTGCAGAGCAGAGTAGGCTGGCGGTGATTTGGAGAAGGAAAAGAATTGAGAAATTGGGGAAGAAGAAGACGGATCAGATCTGCAGTTTGGGAAACAAACCAGATTGAAAAAAAATAAGGGATAGTTAATAAAAGGGTTGAGTAAGGGTAAAAGTGACATTTTGCTTTTTTGTTGCCATTTTTGGGCAGTGAGAAGAAAGATTAAAGGACAGCCCAAATAGGAAAGTTGGAAGACAAAGTTACTATTCATACAATAAGCACCTAAAATCTGAACTATTGAATTAACATCTAAGGTGGGTAAGTAAACACCAAGTCACCACCCTATCCGGTCTAATAACAATAAGTGTTGATTCATCGACTGATTTCTGATAAATGATGTTGACATTGCAACCACCGTAGTGTAGTTTATTTTTCCTTGGTAGCTCTCTTTCTCTTAACATTAATGCTAAAACATTGGGAATCTATTCATTTTTAGTTTGTGGCCTTATGTATCTGATTGGCATATTCGCGACTTTTTTTCAGGTCCTCTTGTCCATCTGTTCACTGCTGACGGACCCAAACCCAGACGACCCGCTCGTGCCCGAAATTGCTCACATGTACAAGACCGACAGGGCCAAGTACGAGACCACTGCCCGGAGCTGGACACAGAAGTACGCTATGGGGTGAGAGAGAGAGAGACAACGAGAGGCAACAAAAGGTTGCCACCAAAAGAAGAAGAATACTCTGTAACTTGTATGCCTTATCGCGTGAGCGTCTCTCCCCCTTCTTCTTCCCTTGTCGGATTCAATAATAATAAGTAATAAGTTGGTATGGGTTGTAACCTGGTTTCAGGAGGCAGCCATGGCGGATCTTCTTAATTAATTTGTGAATACACTACTCTAATTAGACACATTGTTGCACTGGGGAAAAAACTATTATGTGTTTGCTTTCTATGGTCTCTCATTGTTATTCGTCTCTTTGCTATACTCAGCTATCAATTTTAAACATGAACAAGTGAAAAACATAAGAATTTTTTTTTTTTGACATTTTCAACTTACTTTTTGCCAGAGTTTTTTCTTTTAAAATATAAAATAAAGATGGAATAGTTAATTAATTCGAGCAAGGAGAGTAGTATTGTGTAAGTTGGATAACCTTAAATGTCAAGAGAAATTTGTGGCGATATTGTAAACTACTGCACTAGCATTACACCGGCAATTTCTGCTTTTAGAGTATAATTTTTACACAAGTAAGTTTGACTTTATACGTACACCTTCCATCAAAGGATACACGGTGGAACATGAAGTTCAACCGCACATTTGAGTTTATATATCAACATATAGTACCAGAATAAAAATTGCTCCTCCGGTCTCAAAATGTAAGCAACATTTCGAATGATATGCGAAATACTATCTTTTAAAATTATTTTATTTACAAATTGGTAGGAAAATTAAAAAAAATAAAAATTACATCGTTCGATAAAAAATTCTACAAAACAAGGTGCAACAAGAATATTTTATTTTATCAAATGGTCAACCAAAAAGAGTAAACAAACAAAAATTATTGTGACGGTGAAATAGTAACTGTTGCTTACATTTTGGGACGGAGGGAGTACTATAGAATGATTTTCTCCCCCGTCCCACGCTTGAATTTTCTCGTACACTATTCATATGGTCAAATTATATGTTTTGTTTCCTTATTTTCGTTGCCAATTTGATAAAATAATATCGTCATGTCACATCTTGATTTGTTGATCTTTTAATCCTATTTTTAAATATATAAATTTTAAGTTTACATCTTTAATCAATTTGAATTGAAAATAAAATCGGTCTAGTATCGTAACGCGGACCTAGGAAGATTCAAATGTGACGAAGGAAGTGATATACAGTCTCATGTGGTCACAGTAAAAAATCTTATTTTGAATACTAAAAACATGTCACTTCTATTTTGGAAATAGACTCTTGTATGTTTTACTTCGATAAGGGTGAATTCTTTATCTACTAGGTAAAAACGTTAAAATTACTCCCTTAATTATAGCCCGGAGTAAAAGGTAATGACGGAGATTTCACTATATAAATAGATTTAGACCTGGCAAAACAGAACCGGAACCGATTACCCGAACCGAAATATCCGAAACCGAAACCGGAATGACCCGAAAAATGAAGATCCGATCTATAACCGAAAACCCGAAATGATCTGAATCGAACCGAAACCGAACTAAATAATTCATATCCGATTTAAATCCGAAACCGATTAGATCCGAAACCGATAATATCCGAACCGATTAAACCCGAAACCGATTAGATCCAACCCAATAATACCCGAAACCGATAAAATCCGAAACCGATTAGATCTGAAACCGATAATATCCAAACCCGATTAGAACTAAAATCGATAAATTCAGAACTATGTTTGCCTTTCAATAAGCATATTATATTTTTAAATTTTTACTTTTATTTTACCATTTGAACTAATTACATTACTTGCTCAATCCCTCATAAAATTGATTATCTTCTTGAAAAAAGTACAAAATTTTATGCCTTAAATTTGTTATATGTAGAATTTAAAGATAAGTCATACATATAAATGATAACGCACAAACAAATAAAATTTCCGTAATTTTTAAATAGTGAAGTGTGATATTCTTTTTGGGACGAAAGGAATATATGATGAATTGTATGAAATAACTAGATTTTATCCTAATTTCATCTCATTACAATAAATTTTATTGATTTGAGAGTTAATTTGATTAGTTTCAAACCAATTCACTCAATATTAGTCAATAAAATTAGATGCTAGTGTTAGCATTTTGAAAAGACTCTCTAGCGGCAGCCTTGGCTGTTATCATTTTCAAATTTGATCTACACCATTACATTTAGGTGTAAAATTAATTATATTTGACTCTATTAAATTTAATTTTCTCTATTTTCAACCAAATATACTCAATAATTTACAAATTTTGAACTCGATTGAATAAAATTAACTTAATTTCACCCAATTTTACTCAATTTTTACCACATTGTATTCAAATGGAACATAAGACTATTTGAATTTATCTTTTATCTTTTCATTTATGTACATAAGTATATTACAGAGTAGTAGATGTGAGAAAAATTTGATATTCCAAAACTAAATTTTAAAATCAATTTAATTATATTAAATTTATATCATAATTAAATATCGGTGGGGTTCTAGTGACACCGGAGTTCGGTGCCACTAGCGGTGCCACTGGTATTTTGGGGCATCTCCGGTGCTCTGTTCGCAAAATTGACGGTTTCTACCCCCTAAACCCCCCACCCTACCCCCGCCTCTGCACCCCCACCCCCACCCCGCCGTAAGCCCCCCACAAAATGTGTGACTATTATGCAACGCAATGTCATAATTTGTATATTACTCTGGTGTCACTAGAACCCCACGGATTAGATATATATGTTTTCATAATTTGTAGTCCAAATTTGTTAAATATGACTAAAAAGTCAAAAAGGGAAGATTATTTAGGGTAGAGATAATATAACTAGAAAAAAAATATAAAATAATATGAGGTATTGAATTGATGAAAGATTGATAAATGTGATAAAACATACTACCTCCGTTTCTCAAAAGAGTTTTTCTTTTGACTTTGGGGGAAAATAAGGAAGTGTTAAATTGTAGTTGACTTGCAATTTTGCCTTTGATGTAATGGGTAAAAGTAAGATGTGATAGTTTAATTGTTAGTGAAAAAGTATGATGTGATAGGTAGGGTATGAAAAAGTAGGGGTAAAAGTGGTTTTTTAATAGAAAGGGGAAGTGTTTTAAGAAAAACAAAAAAAATGAAAGAGGAAGTATTTTAAGAAACGGATGGAGTAAAAAGAAACACAAATAGTTTAATTTTAATTAGAAAATAATATATATCCAAAATATATTTGATCCGAAACCAAAATATATCCGAACCGAACTAGACCCGAAACCGAAATATATCCGACTCAAATTGTATCCGAACTAAAATTTATCCGAACCGATTTATAACCGAACTGTGTCTGAACCGACTCGAATCCGAACCGAACCGAAAAATGTATAGAACCGAAATCAAATCCGAACCGAACCGAACCGATTATAACATATAACCGAAAGATATCCGAACCGAAAAAATCCAACCCGAAACCGATCCGGTTGATCCGATTGCCACCCCTAAATAGATTCATATATGCATGATGATACATATACACATTTACAACTACATACAAAAAATTAAAGAAACAAAGCTTTGGTTGCAATGGAGATGAAGCCCAACTCTACTACCAGCCTTCTAACTCAATTCACCTCTTTTCATCATCTTCTTCTTCTTATGCTTTTCTCCAAAACATGCCATTCCGGACCCCCCAAAACCCCGAGGCTCACTCCGTTCTTCGACTCCATCGTCTCAAGCTACGGACCGAAAGCGGGATTCCGAGTTCTTCTCCCGGATTTCAAAACTTATTTCTTCAACCAAACGTTGGATCACTTCAACTATGCGCCTAATAGCTACGACACCTTCCGCCATAGGTACATTGTCAATTCCAACCATTGGGCTGGCGGTGCCGCTCCCATCTTCGCGTGGCTCGGCGCGAAGGCTCCCATCGACGACGACCCTCTCACCGTCGGGTTTCTCACCGACATCGCCCCTTCTTTCAAGGCCCTTCTCGTCTACATAGAGGTAATTAAAAATTACCCATAAAGAATGGGGGTGGTTCTCGTGGCATTGCTTATGACCCGAAGGCCCTATAGCGTTCCGTACGAAAACCCACCCATTCTGACCTGACCCGAACCCACCCCCATCCCCTTCAATTGCAACTCCTAAAATTTGTAAACTTTGGAGTCAAATTTTGATTCCAAAGTCAACAAGATTTGGGAGATTCAATTGAAAGAGATGGAGGGGTGGGTTGAGTTCGAGCCGGGGTAGGTGGGTTTACCGGAGGACAGAAACTGTTAATTTTTCGAACGAAACACTGTAGGATCCTCGAGTCATCCCACGACATTGGTCCCTGCATCATAAAAACCAAGCTGTAAAAGTAAAGACATATTCCACTTCTTCTTCCTCTTCTTCTTCTTTTGGCCTAAATTTAAAAAAAAAAAAATTGTTAAAAACTCAGCATAGGTTTTATGGGGAATCGATTCCAATGGGGAAAATGGAAGATGCGATGAGAAACGAGACACTTCGTGGGTTTTTCAATTCAGGTCAAGCCTTAGCGGATTATGCTCAAGTTTTGCTACACATTAAGACACAATTCAACGCCACAAAATCTCCCATTCTTGTGGTTGGAGGCTCTTATGGTGGAAGTAAGTACACCCACGTTTAATTAATTATATTTATATTGTGGATATAAATATTAATTTCTGGAACAATTAATTAATTTGATTTAATTTAGACTTATAAGATGTTTATTTTTATATATATTGTTTCAAAATATTTTTTTTAAAAAAAAAACAAATTGGATGGATATTATTACAGTGCTGGCAGCTTGGTTTAGAATGAAGTATCCGCATGTTGCAATGGGTGCGTTAGCTTCTTCAGCTCCCATTCTCTACTTTGACAACATTACCCCACAAGATGGTTACTTTTCCCGGTCCGCCCAAAACAGACCTCGCAAAACAGAACCGGAACCAAAATATCTGAAACCGAAATGATCCGAATCGAACCGAATTGTATGGAATAACTAGATTTTAACCTAATTTCATCCAATTACAAACCAATTCACTCAATATTAGTCAATAACATTAGATGTTAGTATTTACATTTTGAAAAGACTCTAGCGGCAGAATTTAGTGTTATCATTTTCGAATTTGATCTACACTATTACATTTAGGTGTAAAATTAATTATATTTGATCCTATTAAATTTAATTTTATCTAATTTCAACCAAATACACTCAAATAATTTATAAATTTTGCACTCAATTAAATAAAATTCACTTAGTTTCACCCAATTTCACACAATTTTTACCAAATTGTATTAAAATGG